ATATACAAATATACATGAATAATATACATGTATATAAATGTGTACAAACACACACACACATATATATATACATATACATATATATACACATACATACATATATATGCATTGATATAATATATGCATACATATATATGTATATATATGCATACATATATATGCATATAAATATATATATATATATATATATATATATATATATATATATATATATATATATATATATATATATATATATATATATATATATATATTTATATATATATATATATGCATGCATATATATATGTATATGTATGCATACATATATATGCATATAAATATATATATATATATATATATATACACCTATATATGCACACACACACACACACATGTGTACATGTGTGTTTGTGATTTTGTGTCCGTTTATGTTTGGATGTGTGCATAAGTAATACATACAAACTCATATTTAGATATAGTTATTTCTATAAATGTTCATACATACACAAATACGATGACTATATATATATATATACATATAAATAGATATACGGTACACACACATTATATATATATATATATATATATATATATATATATATATATATAAACATATATAATATATGTAAACTTATGCGTAAACACAAATGCACACATCGCTGTGTGGTTGTACAAAATAAAATATTATTGTATTATAGTTTGGGATATCAATAATTGCCGTAATGGCATATGGAATATATATCAGAAACTATAGTTTTCATTCAGAAATTCCAGTCAAAATGTCCATACCGAAAATCTTTTAGCAGTTTTAAGTGTACCTCTTATCTAATTCACTAAAAGCGTGTTACAGTGAAATCTAAGTAAAATGTAAGATATGTTAGGAAATTTAACTCCTTACTCTTACATGTCTTCCGAGTTTCCCTTTGAATAGTAACCTTAAATTAAGAGATACATACGTAAACAATTAAGGCTCCGCCCATACTTGGTTGGACATGCCCCGCCCCTTTCCCCAGACTTAAGGTATATAAAGGTTGTCTTGACTTATGGTGCTACTTCTGGTCTTCCTCGCATAAACAACATGCAGTTTGTGAGTAGAGGGAGTTATAAACTCATACGTAGTATACTTCAATATACTGTACTGTGTTATTTTTACATCAGTATATTTGTCATATGTGTACAGAAGTAAATAAGATAAATAAGATAAAATTCCATTTCCAGATCGTTCTTGCCTGCCTTGCCGCCGTGGCTGTTGCCACTCCTCAGTTCGAGGACCGAGTGGTCGCCCTCCTTCGTGATGACCGCATAGCCAACGAAGACGGCACCTTCTCCTATGCCGTGGAAGCCGACAACGGCATCAACACAGCCGTCGAAGGAGTTGTTGGATCTGCCGGCCAGATAAACCAACAGGGATCTTACACGTAAGTGGTGATGAAACCTGCAAATGATTTACTGAGTAGACATTCGCGTAATTTTTTGTTATTTTAATTTTCTTTATCGGGCATCAAGATAACGTTGTCCCATTTCTTTAGTAGAGAAAATTAACATTTTATTATCTTTACAGCTATACCCTTGCGGACGGTACCCCCATATATATATATATATATATATATATATATATATATATATATATATATATATATATATATATATATATATATATATATATATATATATATATATATATATATATATATATATATATATATATATATATATATATATATATATATATATATATATATATATATATATATATATATATATATATATATATATATATATATATATATATATATATATATATATATATATATATATATATATATATATATATATATATATATATATATATATATATATATATATATATATATATATATATATATATATATATATATATATATATATATATATATATATATATATATATATATATATATATATATATATATATATATATATATATATATATATATATATATATATATATATATATATATATATATATATATATATATATATATATATATATATATATATATATATATATATATATATATATATATATATATATATATATATATATATATATATATATATATATATATATATATATATATATATATATATATATATATATATATATATATATATATATATATATATATATATATATATATATATATATATATATATATATATATATATATATATATATATATATATATATATATATATATATATATATATATATATATATATATATATATATATATATATATATATATATATATATATATATATATATATATATATATATATATATATATATATATATATATATATATATATATATATATATATATATATATATATATATATATATATATATATATATATATATATATATATATATATATATATATATATATATATATATATATATATATATATATATATATATATATATATATATATATATATATATATATATATATATATATATATATATATATATATATATATATATATATATATATATATATATATATATATATATATATATATATATATATATATATATATATATATATATATATATATATATATATATATATATATATATATATATATATATATATATATATATATATATATATATATATATATATATATATATATATATATATATATATATATATATATATATATATATATATATATATATATATATATATATATATATATATATATATATATATATATATATATATATATATATATATATATATATATATATATATATATATATATATATATATATATATATATATATATATATATATATATATATATATATATATATATATATATATATATATATATATATATATATATATATATATATATATATATATATATATATATATATATATATATATATATATATATATATATATATATATATATATATATATATATATATATATATATATATATATATATATATATATATATATATATATATATATATATATATATATATATATATATATATATATATATATATATATATATATATATATTGTAGTCACTTTCGTGGCCAACGAGAACGGCTTCCAGCCCCAGTCCAACATCTTGCCCACTCCCCACCCTCTTCCTGCCCACGTCTTTGAGCTGTTGGAAATCGCCGAGCGTCAGCGCGCTGCGGGCATCGTGTTCAACTAGTGAATGACTTAAAGTAGCAAATGAAAAGGAAGTCGATACAATAAAGTTTACAATTGAGATTGTTCTTCTGTCCGGAAGAATCACACTCTTTTGCAATGAATTATATACCTTTTGTTTTTCTTTCTAAATCTTCAGTTAGTCAATGTACTTTTCATCTTGACTTGTACCTACTGTACAAATGCAGGGTAACAGTATTAGCAATGAAACTTTAGTCATAGACTCGCTTTACGATAAAGACTAGCATGTTCAGATAAGATAATGCATCATATTGCATACCATAATAAAATATGGTAAAAAAACATCACCGTTGACCTGTATATCTTTCCGTAGTCAAGGATATGGAGTTATGATGAAAATATGGGGTTATATAATTTTTTTTTCTTCACTGCATTTAATCTAATATTTCACTAATTCTCTGTCCATCATGGTTATAGTATAAAAGATAGTTCACGAGAGGTGATAGAAAAAAAACAGTGATAGAAAGAGGATAATCAGCAATAAAAAAGGAAGTCAGTGATAGATAAAGGAAATCAATGATAGAGAAAGGGAATCAATGACAGGGAAAGGAAATCAGTGGTAGAACAAGAAAGGCAATTACAGAAAAAAAAATCATTTATTAAAAAAATTGGAATAAAAGGAAATCAAAGACAGTAATGGAAAATCGTTGATAGAAAATGATATAAAGGTATAAAAATAAATCACTGGTAAAAAATCAATTATTAATAGAAAGCGGAAATAAATAGAGAAAGGATGGCATTATAAAAAATAAATCAGTGATAGAAAGTAAATAAATGATAGAAAAAGGAAACTACAGGGTGAAAAAAGATCAACGAAAGAAAAAGAGAATAAACCAAAGAAAAAGGAAACCAGTGGTTGAAAAAAAGAAAGCTGTCATAGAGAGAGGAAATTAGTGACAGAAATGGATAACTAGACAGTTCGTGGCGGGCGTTAAAAAGGCATAAAAAACAATCTAAAAGATGATAATGTGCCTGCATCCTATGTTTATACCATGGTTGCAAATAACCTGTATGTGGTTTCCTTGATTTCAAATTAACACTTTTACTTTCTGAAAGCAATTTAGCTGTACTGCAATCAGTTTTTGTATTGCATATTTTAGTTTTATTTCATTACATCCAGTATACTTCTGTAGATAAATGAGGAATGACTAATGCAGGGCTTATGAATATACTTCAGGTTAATGTTTGTCGGAATTATTAGATCATCTACAAATAACGTTTTTTATGGAATGGTGAATATGAAAAAAAACATAGAATAATAATTACGAAACTTACGAGAAACTTACGAGATATTCACACTTTCATTATATATATATAAAACAAAACTTTTTATTTAATTGTATCGCACCTCTGGATGCTCTACAAGAGATTCGAGAATCCCAGCTTAGGTTATGGACTGCAGAATATATCTTTTATTTTTTTTAGATAGTTTGTTTGCTGTACAGTTCATCTAATACTTCCCAATGCAATTTTAGCCCATATATATATTAGAGAAAAAAAATGATAAGGAGGATTAAAGGAAGAGTGTTTTGGTTAATATATTTGAAAAAAATAAGTTCTCCCTTTTCGTGTCATTGGGGATTCTGTTCTCCGAGCAGTGACCATTAGGCATAGCTGCAGGTACTAAGATGCTCTACCTTGTGGTCGGTAAAGGCTCCGCCCAAAGCTACTTGGATATAGCTCCGCCCCCATTCTTCTGAGCAGAGGTATATAAAGGTCGTCTTTGACGTGTGATGTTACCACTGGTCTTCCGGTCTCTCTCGAGTAGACAACATGAAGCTTGTGAGTTGAGAGATTTCATGGAAATACTTGTATATGCATGTATACATAGACATGTACTATTTGCTACATGTATGTTTGTGTACTTGACGCACGAGAGTAGTGTATACGCAATGCATTTGTGTATTTGTGAAGCAAAGATTAATATACTTTATTTGCAGATCATTCTTGCCTGCCTTGCCGCCGTGGCTGTTGCCACTCCTCAGTTCGAGGACCGAGTGGTTGCCCTCCTTCGTGATGACCGCATAGCCAACGAAGACGGCACCTTCTCGTACGCCGTGGAAGCCGACAACGGCATCAACACAGCCGTTGAAGGAGTTGTTGGATCAGCTGGTCAGATCAACCAGGCAGGATCTTACACGTAAGGATATGCCATCAAATTATTCACAATTAACCTGGATAACTAATGAATAAATGAGTCAAGTGAGGATGACATTTGCGAACAGAAAAACTGCAGTCGGTTATGGAGAAACAATTTGTGCATTATCTAGAACACACTGAGCGTACGCGGTGGCTTTTGAAAACAACCTTGTTTTTCGTTTTTAATGCAATGTACCCCCCCCCCCTATGTAATTATTAATGTTTGTTCTCTGATCCTTATAGCTATACCCTTGCTGACGGCACTCAGGCTGTGGTCACCTTCGTCGCCAACGAGAACGGCTTCCAGCCCCAGTCCGATATCCTGCCCACTCCTCATCCTCTCCCTGCCCACGTCTTTGAGCTATTGGAAATCGCCGAGCGTCAACGTGCTGCGGGCATCGTATTCAACTGAGGGAATTGGAAAAAAGGATTAAATGTATGGATGGGAAATGAAAGCCGATGTAATAAAGTTTACGATAAATCTTGTATCGAATTTCATTTTGTCCGAAAACATCGAATCTTAGTGCAGTTTCCTTATCAAGGCATAGCACTGACAAGAAATGAACGACTTTCATTTGTTTACATGCTGATAATTTGTTTTCTATCTGGATATGGAGAAAATGAAAAATATTTACTGATATGTGATGTCAATTTACATCTATTGAGATTTAATTTATGGATTCAGAAGACCTTAATATATATGGCAATTGTTTAATATAGTCCTTTATTTCAATATCACGTATGGCTATGTCGTAGGCACACGAAGGCATTATCATGTGAACAACGCGAGGGCAAAGCGGATGCTACATGAACGGGTGAAACAAACAAGCCGGGACGAGACATCAAATAATGTATATATTAGTTAAGTATTTTCTAGGATAAGTTTTTGCTTGCTTTAGTTACTGCTTAACGAGATTAATTTAGTATTATGATTACCTGATTAAGAATAAGATATTTTCTGTCCATTTTTGAAGTGTACTCATTTATTTTTTAATGGAGATGGTTTAAGTTAATATGTGTAAGAACATTAACTTTAAATTTTAAATTGCTTGGTATAAAAAGTTAATCTTGCTTAAATATAATTTTCACTATTTTCTGATTCAATTTGTTTACTAATATTTTTATGATTTCAATCATTGCATGTGGAGAAAGGAATTCTTTAACTTATTGCTTATATCCATTTTAGGCATTGACATTATTTGCTCTAAATTCATCATTAATAACAGCTTGCTTATATTGACATTATGTAGTTGCATGCATGCTAACATTTAGAGTAAAGTGGCAAGCTATTCGTTAAAACTAAAAGATAGATATTCAGTGTGGTATAATTATTGTATTGGATTATAATGAACTCAGATGTATTATTGGTATATCAATGTATGTGATTGGCTTTACATTTTGACTATATAATATTTTTTCAGTTAATAAATAATGTGTAAATTCTCTAAAAAGTTGTGGATTTTTCCTCACATTTATCTTAGCTAATCGATACAACATTGAAGAGTTAAATCGGTGAGAGAAATATGACTAGTATGAACTGTAACGATTATATCAGACACTGAGGAGATGATATAATAATAGTTGATGAAAAAGAGGCAACAACATCTAGGGATATTTATCATTATACTGTTAGTCCAATACGTGATATGAAAGGGTAGCAGATTTGACGAAAAATGATAAAAGAGATATCAAAAATAGGAAATAGGTGATTTCAAGCAATTTCAAACCTTTTAGCAAAAATGAGAGTATATTTCCACAGAACGAGGAAGACTTAAGGTTATGAATGGCAAATAGTAAGAACTATAGTTAGAAAAATCCACAAAGTAGATGCATTGGAAAGTGAGACAAATGGAATTTCATCCTTAGACCTGATGGTATGACCCATGTTAACTTCGAAACGGCTGTCTCGCTTTTCAATAAATCTAGTTTGTGTATTGTGGGCTTTTCTGTCATTCAATTTTGAGCTTATATCCTGTGTCCTTCAATTCCGAATACTTTTGACTCTCATAGTTACATTATGCCACGATTTCTTTAAATCATGGCCTTAGACCATACTTCATTTAGTTCAATTCAATTGACTAAATGTATCCTGTGCTATTTGTTTGAGCCTCTATGCTTGTTGCGACGATTATGACTATAACATATCTACCACTAATGAGCTGCTAGCCTCTATTATCTACATATGACTGGCACAACGAATATAGTATTTGATGCATCAGCATCAGTTCAGCATAATTATACTGGGCAAATGAAATAAATTAGAAGTGAACTTACTAATATCAATCTTACTCCTACTACTAATACTAGTTTTAATGCCATCAAAATCTAAATACTATAGAAATAACTATGAAGTATGAATGAAATTTACCATATGAAATCTCTGGTAAAAGCTTCCCATAGTGAATCCTATCTAGTTTACTGCTTAATTGATTCAGAGGAACTTGTGTCCAAGAAATTCAAGTCTTCTTTTAGCTGTCTTTCCATGAGAAGTGATCATTAAGTAGAAGTACAGGTAGTATGATGCTATTCCTTGCGTAACCGGTCGGATGAGGCTCCGCCCTTGGGTTGCTGAATATGGTCCCGCCCCTTTCCTCAGAGCTGAGGTATATAAAGGTTGTCTTGACCTGTGATGCTACCATTGGTCTCTCCGAACTCATCCAACATGAAGACAGTAAGTATAGTTCACCATACATACATTCATATATATATGCACTGTGCGTGTATATGGATGTCTATACACATGTACAAGTGTATTACGAGTTACCATGATTTTTAAGACTGAAAGGAATTAGAAGCTGTTATGAATGAAAATTCTTTTCACAGATCGTTCTTGCTTGCCTCATCGCCGTGGCTGTTGCCGCCCCTCAGCTCCAGGAGAGGGAGGTTGTCCTTCTTCGCGATGACCGAATTGCCAACGAAGACGGCACCTTCTCCTACGCCCTGGAAGCCGACAACGGCATCAACACAGCCGTTGAAGGAGCTGTTGGATCTGCCGGCCAGATCAATCAGGCTGGATCTTACACGTACGGACGCGCGATCATTTTATTTTGGATAAATGTGTCAAGTTGAAGTTAGGTTCTATTTGATATCCGGGAAGGAAATTTTACTAAAGTTTATTAAATAACCCTTACAGCCTTACCCTTGAGGACGGAACCCAGGCTGTTGTCACCTTCGTCGCCAACGAGAACGGCTTCCAGCCCCAGTCCAACATCCTGCCCACTCCCCACCCTCTTCCTGCCCACGTCTATGAGCTGTTGGAAATCGCTGAGCGTCAGCGCGCTGAAGGCATCGTGTTCAACTAAGAGAATGAAACTGCTAAGGAAATTGTATGTGTGGAAGTGAAATGAAAGTTGATGTAATAAAGCCTACAAATTACCTTTACATATTTATCACATTCGGACCTTGGCGGGAAACATCAAAGAAAAAACATTTGAATTATACTCATACAAATATAATTTTTTTTTCTTTTTTTCTTTTTCTTTTGAATTTATTTATCCCAGTGGAAGCTTTAATGATACAACCCTTTTCTATTTTTAAGGGATTACAGAGAGATTAGGACAAAGGATAAAGGTGGCAGTGATTGTAAAGACTGCTTTATACTATTGAAATAACAGTTTTATTTTAAGTGGTTAGATTTATAATGAATCACAAAATAAGCATCAGTTTCGAAAACATTATAAACGTTATGCCCTAAGAGCCAGCAATGCTCTGTTAAAAGGCAACAGTTTTCAACGAGAATGTATCTTTCCTTGTGTATATACACATTTATATGTACAGACACAACCACAAACATATATGTGTATATGTAAAACTATATACACATGTATCTACATACACATATATCTACATACATATATATACATCTATATCTACATACAAACAAATGTATCTACATACATATATATTTATATATATACAAAACATGCTATGTGTGTGTATTCCGTCATTTCTGCTTTCGGCTGTGTGTCAAGTAAATATTCTTTTTGTCCTAACATATTCATATATTAATGTTTGAATTACAGCTGCATCAAAAGTTGTTAAAGTACCCGTATGATCATTTTCCTTCACATTTGAAATGTCTGGATATTGAATAAGTACCTTTTAATTATGGTAGTAAATGATCGATCGTATGATATAACAAATAAAAAGGTATGGCTTGTGATATAGGCCGTATTGAAAACAAAGTTAAGGAAATAAGAGCAAAATATATATTTGATCTTCAGTTTGAATATAGCTAATGATCAAAACAAAGAGATGATCACATTCTTAATACTAAGAATATTTCACTTTCAGGGAGATGGAGTTGATGGAGTTAAATGTGATAATGTTTTAAACGTGACAAAGACCCTTCTGGTCGCTGGTATTTGAACAAATGAATAAAAAATCATGAACAGAATATTAATATTAAAATAATGCAGCAAATATATGATAAATATAAACAAGTACATGTATATATGTACATGTATGATTATAATATATATATCAAACATGCATATACATATCTATATCTACCCATATGTATGTATATATATATGTACATATATATATATACATACAGTATGCATATGTATATACATCAAACCCTCCATTTGCAGTTGTATTTGCTGTTCTCTTTATTTTGGAAATATACAGCCCTTGCATTAACTATTTCTCAAATTAAATCCTGTTTAAATTACATCATGGCATAATTTTTTTCTACCATGACTTTTAACCGACGTCAGTGTTCTGTAAACGAGTGGTATGAATGACAAGATGGAAAGGTAGCCTCATTTATGAAACAATACATATGGAATATTGGTGTATAGCATAAACTCAGCCAATACATTACTACATACATATACTAATTCATATATCAGGAATTATAGTTTTCATGCAGAAATTCCAATCAAAATGTCCATAACAAAAAGGTCTAAGCAGTTTTAATTTACCTCTTACCCAGTTCACTAAAAGCGTATTGAATAAAATCAAATTAACATGCAATATTTGTCTGGAAACATATATTTAACTTCTTAGCTTTCCTTTGAAGAATCACCTGAAGGGATACATACGTAAACGATTGAGTCTCCGCCCATACTTGGTTGGCCATGGCCCCGCCCCTTTCTCAGAGTAAAGGTATATAAAGGTCGTCTTAACCTATGGTGTTACCACTGGTCTCCCTCACATAGACAACATGAAGATTGTGAGTAGAGGGAGTTATACATACATACATAGTATACTTTAGTATACTGCATTATACATTTTTTACATACGTATATTTGTCAAATGTGTATAGAAATGGAAGTTGAATTAGATAAAATTCTATTTCCAGATCGTTCTTGCCTGCCTTGCCGCCGTGGCTGTTGCCACTCCTCAGTTCGAGGACCGAGTGGTCACCCTACTTCGCGATGACCGCGTAGCCAACGAAGACGGCACCTTCTCCTATGCCGTGGAAGCCGACAACGGCATCAACACAGCCGTTGAAGGAGTTGTTGGATCTGCCGGCCAGATAAACCAACAGGGATCTTACACGTAAGTGGTGATGAAACCTGCAAATGATTTACTGAGTAGACATTCGCGTAATTCTTTATTATTTTAATTTTCTTTATTGGGCATCAAAATAACGTTGCCCCATTTCTTTGGTAGAGAAAATTAACATTTTATTATCTTTACAGCTATACCCTTGCGGACGGTACCCAGGCTGTTGTCACTTTCGTGGCCAACGAGAACGGCTTCCAGCCCCAGTCCAACATCTTGCCCACTCCCCACCCTCTTCCTGCCCACGTCTTTGAGCTGTTGGAAATTGCCGAGCGTCAGCGTGCTGCGGGCATCGTGTTCAACTAATGAATGACTTAGGGTAGCAAATGAAATGGATGGGAGTGAAATGGAAGTTGATACAATAAAGTTTACGACTGAAATTTTTATTTTTATTCTGTCCGGAAGCATTTTTCGTGAGGAAAGTGATTCACACTGTTGCAATGAATTATTTACGTTATGTTTTCCTTTCCAAATCTTCAGCTATTCTGTCATTTTTCATCTTGACTAGTATAAGATGTAATGTACAGGAACAGCAAGTAAACCTAATGTACAAATGCAGGGCAATAGTGCTAGCAATGAAACTCCTTAGTAATTGATCCACTGTACGATAAAGACTAGTATGCTTAGACCAGGTAACGGATCATTAGACTGCATACCGGAATAAATTGTGGTATAGATAATTAAAAAACGTGCAAGGCAATTTCACATTACCGTTAACCTGAAAATCATTACGTTGTCAAGGATGTGGAGTTATAAAAAAAAATATAGGGTAATTTAAGTGTTTCTTTTCAATGCATTTAATGTTTACTAATATTTCACTACTCTGTCCATCATGGTAATAATATAAACGATAGATCGCGGGTGGTGATAGAAAGAAAGGTAATCAATCATAGAAAATCGTAGAATAAATCGTAGAATAAAAGGGATAATCAACAATAAAAAGGCAATCAAATAGAAAAAGGTAAATCGGTGATAAAGGAAATCAACGATAAAGAAAGGGAATCAAGATCCAAAATTAGATAAGTGATAAGAAAGCAAATCAATGACCGAAAAAGGGAATCATTGATAGAAAAATAGCAACGAAAGGAAAAGGGAATCGCCGAAAGATAAAAGGAATCAACGGTTGAAAAGAGAAAGGAAATCGAAGACAGAAAAGTGATATAAAAAATCAAAGATAAAGAAATTATAGAATAGCAAATCACTGATAGAAAAAGAGAGAAAAGAACAGAATCAAAAGCAACAAAAAAGGACTCAACAGTTGAAAAAAGGAGAGCTATGATAGAAAAAAGACATCAGTGACAGGAAGGGATAAATGAGAATGTGTCTGCATCCTATGTTTATACCCTGATTGCAAGTAACCTGTATGTAATTTCCGTCACTGACGTTACGTTCCAGAACATGATTTCAATGTAATACTTTTGCTTTTCACGAGGAATTTAATTGTACAATAATCAGTTTTTATATGGCATAGGTTTGTTTTCTGTATCGTTTGATTATATCCAATGTACGTCTGCAGATAAATATAAGAAATGACTAATGCAGGAGTCCTG